CATTAGTTAATCTATTAATAAAATTAGTATTGATTTTACCGGTAGTCACTGTTAGTGTAAAGAGAGCATTTTCATCAATAAATGTTGTGAAGAATCATTTGCGAAATAGAATGAGTGATTAATGGTTGAATGATAGTTTAATTTTGTATATAAAGAATGATGTATTTGATAATATTGATAATGAAATCATTATACAATATATTTAAAAGATAAAATCTCGTTGAGGATAATTATAAATATATTAGTTAACGAGCATTTTATTAATACAAATATTTGTGTTTATTTATATTTATATTTATGTTAATTGTTATTTTAATGTTTCACCCCCTAAGTTTCATTCCTCCTAGGTCTGCCCGTGCTTGTGATGAACATCTCCTGAAAATAATTCACCTTCAATGCAGTTTGCTTTTTAGAAGTAAATGATGGGGACTAAAAGAAAAAAACGTTTCGTAGTCAAGTTAAAATTGTCAGAAACTAATTAGATCAACAATTATAATTGACAAAAAGTAGGGCTTTTGAATTTGATCTTGACATAGAAGGCTTAGTAGATGACTTCCTGGAGAGGGCTGAGTGTCAAAAGCTCAAACGTGGGCATACCAACTTAAAATAGCCATGACTTTTGATTTATAAGGAGTTACGGGACCTATAAGATATTAACAAAAAGTTTGTTTCGAGCCCGACAACGTGGCAACCCGCGTCCTTTGTTAGGTGTCGTATTCAAGCCCAAAATCCACTGTTTCGACTTGTTAAGGGGGCGTTTAATTTTTTGTGTGTTTTTCCTCTTTTATTAAGAGTTATTTCTAATGTGATAATTAGTCAAAAATTAGGATTTCCTTTTTTCTTTTAATTAATTTGTTTTTTATTTCCTTATTGATTGAGAGTCTTTTCTTAGGTTTAGTTTTCACCACCCTCCATAAAGGTATTATTTGTTTTTTTAAGATATAAAATGATTTTCACATTTTCCTTCAATTTTATGAATTAAGTTTCTATGATTGAGACTTGTTAATAGACCATAAAGGCATAATTGTGTGTTAGTCTTGTTTTTACGCTCGCTACGTAAGATCTACTATTATCTTTTATTATGTCATCTCTTTGAATATGATTAATAATTTCCCAATTTGTAAGATAGTTGGTTGTGCTCGTGACCTGATGCCTTCTTTCAGGTTCTCACTTTGCTCAAGTGCTCACTAGTATCAAAGAAACCTTTGACAGAAACTTTGTTGAAACAAAATTCAGCACCAAAGTTCGGCAAAGAAGATTTTGATCAGAATATCTATGTTGAGTCTACAGTGGAAGAACCAGAATCAAATGTGGATGGGAAGATTAATGTAAAGCTTATTATCAGCAAATCCAAGAAAATGGTTTGTTTTGCCGAAGCAAGTAAAGAATTTGTTGATTTAGTTTCCAGTTTCCTAACTGTTCCACTTGGTTATATAATAAAAGAAATGCAGAGTGGCTTTTCAAAAGGATCATTAACTCACCTGTACAATAGTGTTAAGGAACTCGATACTGAGAAATACTTGAAATCTGATGAGCACAAGAAAATGCTCATCGGTCCGAAGCTCGCCCCTTATTTTAGCTATGAGAACCATCCTTTAGGCATTGAAGAAGGTTTGCACCCAACATACTGTGCTACAGAATATTGTGATGTATATCCTTGGCGTTATGAACTTACTTCTGATGGTAAAATTCCTTCTGGATCTTATTGGAGAAGTTCAATTTTAACTGTCAAGGATCCTAAGTCTCATTTTAAAGAAGCCACAAGAGGAGGATTTGTGACTAGACCAACAATGTTTACCGTAACTGACAATCTGATCATCACACCCATATCTCAATTCCAAAGTCTGTCTGTTCTGAACAAATTGAAAGTACCTTTCAACGATATTGAGGAGCGTGTTGTGCATGTGGATCGTGAGAAGGTAAGTTGACATAAATATTTCAGTATTAAACTCTAACAAAGCATCCCATGATTTTTGATAGTAGTTTCTTTTGACTATTTTGAGATCTTGTTATAGAGACGCATGGTGATTTTGGCATACAACCTTTAAGTATTTCTTTGAAATTCAAGTCCCTATGATTTAACTTTCTTTCATTTTGCCTAACCTGCTAGAATGTTACTATTGGAAACCATCCAGTATTCTGGGACATAATCATAGAAATTCATCCAGTAAGATGCAGCAAACAACTTAAAAGTTTCATACATGTATTTTAAGGTTTTTCCTCACATTGGCAAGAGCATTAGAAGTCTTATTTGCTTTTAAGTAACAATGAAGAACTGCATCAGCCAAATAGCTCATTTCTTCATAAGGTTTTAGATTCCCATACTATCTGTATCTTTTATTATTTTTATGTTGTAAGTCTTGTCAAATTGCAAGGCATTGCCAGCTACAAATGCATTTTTTTCAATCAATAGTAAGTGACAGTATAGAAGTAAAATATACAAATGCTGTCAGTTTATTGTGCCGAGCCAATAATCTACCAAACTAAGCTACTGCCAATTCTGTTTTTGCTGCTGCATTACCACCTCCCATTAATTAGACTATACAAATGGAGAGTTTTGATTCAGAAGCTGTTCAAGAAGAGAATCCATTGAAGATGATGTGAAAGCATGATATCCATTCTCTTGTTGATACCTTATGAATTTGTTTTTTGATACCTTATGAATTTATTTTACTTTGCAGGCTTTGCATCTATTGGTGGCTTCTTTTGTATCTGAATCTGCTCTGACCAATGCCTTTCTGAGAGAGCCAAATCCATATTTCAACTAAAATAAGGAATGTTGTTCATGTGAGAACTATTTATAATTTGTGTTTGTGCTCTGGTATGCTCTTAGATCAGAAGGTATTCCATATAAGTATGTTACTACAAAGGATTTGCATTGTATCTATTTATTGTGGGACAGATTTCCAATTTTAGCTCCAACGTGGATAGCATTCAAAAACAAATGGAGTATGATCTATAAAAAACTGGAGGTAAATTTGATTTATACCTATAAACAATATATGAGTCACGGCTACAAGATTGAGAAACCAATTTCTGTTCTCTTCTACATATTAATACTTTCTCTCTTACAAGAAGATCAAAAGTCATCATTCATCAACGTCAAAAGCAGCATTGCACTGTGACACGATCTCATGAGAATTTTACTCTTTTTGGTGATCAGAGTTGTTTCGGTCATCTTACACGTACATCAACTAATCCTCTTGAGCTCTAAAGTTGACGACAAAGTAAGCACCTCAGTAGCCACCCCTATTAGGGACTGTGGAAACTCGAACTCAAGAGCTCTTGAAACCTCCTTTTGTTTTTTTATCACTAGACCACCCAGTGATGATTACGGGGATAAGTAATATTGTACCATTAGAAATAAAACACATGAACTAGGTCATTCATACGGTATCTGAGTGATTACAATTGCTATTTGAACTAATTTGCAATCAGATGGTGTGGTGTGAGGTCCATAAGATGGGACTCCTTGCACTGTGACACGATCTCATGAGAATGCAAGGTTCATAAGGATGATTCTATAAATTAAGTAGACGTAAGTCTAATAATACAATCGTTTATGTCAAGCTCAAAAGTAAATCCAGGCAAACAAAGTGCACTTTTCAGGCCGTGACACAAGGATCATAGGGTGCATTTTGGATAAGAAAAATATTATCCTTACAAAGAAGGTTACAAAGTGACATCATCCAGAAGAAAAAAATAAAGAAAAAACAAAAAAAGGGAAAGAGAGAGAGAGAAAAATCATGAAAATAAAGGATAGGGATTATCTTTGTATGCCCTCTTTGTATGTGTCTTTGTAAAACTAACATTGCTCTTTGGGTAAATGACACTTGTAATCTCAAACAAATGTATGTAATTTTTGAAAGCTTATTTGAAACCCAAAAATATATCTGTATAAGCTCAAAAACAAATCCATACAAATTGGACACAAATTACCCACCCATGGATAGTCCAATGGTAAACACGAATCAAGGGGCTATGCATGGCGTCAATCCATAGTTTTAGATTCGATTCCTCGTCAGGACAAAGGTGATTTACCTGGGGCTACAGCATTAGATTGCTGCTAAGAGCGCATAAACTGATATAGACATCTTAATTAACAAAAAAAAAAAAAAAAAAAAAGGGACACAAATTCACTCACTATTCCGAGATAAATAAAAAGTCAGGTCAATTATGGGACTGCTGATTTCTTCTCCATCAAGAAATTCCTTTCCTAAAGATTGCTAAAGATGATAGGTCTACACAGTGATGCACCTTTAACTTACTTTACTGTCTCTACAACTGCTTTTCTACTTGTTTTTCCCTTCGCTCTCCGACCCTTCCTAAGTCCTTCATTACACTTCTCAAGCAACACTACCTGCATTTGGTGATCATCAGGTACCCATACATAACTTCATCATAAATCATCACTTCTTATATAATGTTGGGTTTCTTAGCTAGCTGATAGAGACTTTTCTGTTAGTTGTTTAATCTTCTTCAATTATACATGCTTGGAATGATTTAACTGTTATTTCAACCCCCACAAGGCTATAAACATTGAAGATTAGAGTGATTTCAATGGGATTAATTTTAATGGTTTAGTTCCAGACTTCCACTTATAATGAACAATTATTTTCTCAGAATATTTACTACCTTGCTCTCTTAATAGTGTGAGCAGTTTCTTTTTTTGTTTTGGGATTAATTTTACAATGCATAAATATTTCCTGCGGACAACAGCTTAATTTGGATCACAGTCTTTAAATTATCATTTTACTTCATGAAAATGGGTATATTCTGGAAATAATTAAGTTCCAGTATGTGATAAACAAATTTAACTTGCAAAACTCTGAAATTCCAATCATATCAGTGCGTATGTTTCAGTGGAAATGGAACTTTTTACAATTCTTTAAGTGAATGAAAAAGGCTTCAAACAGATAACAAAAATCTTTAATTAACTTTTTCTCTGACTTGTAGGTTTGGGCACCTGAAACGGAGAAAGAAGAGAAAACATATAATCAATGGATGAAGAACATGTAAAACCTATTAGTTTGAAGGCCTTGGTGGACAAGGTGAGCAAAAAAATTATATTTGCTGAATCTAATGAGGAATTTATTGATGTCCTCTTCAGTTTCTTGACGATGCCAATGGGAACAATCATCAGGCTCATCCGTAATCGACCTCCAACAATGGGGATAGGCTGCATGAACAATTTATATGAATGCATTGAGAATCTTGATGTGAAATTATTCAGGACTGAATCATGCAAAAAAATGTTGTTATATCCCAGAAATGCAGCTGCAGTTCAGTGCAGGAGACTACAATTGAATATTGATGAGACTGAGCCGCCGAGGTACTTTCTTGGCAATCCCAGTAGTTGCACTCATTTAAGTCACTATAGAGACGTTATTTGTCCCTTTGGAGAGTGCCTAAATATTGAGAAGTTTCTTGCTCAAGATAGAGGGGTGTTTGTTAAAGAAATGACCCAACTTATGATAAGTGATGAATTATGAGTAATGCCCCCATCAACTGAAGAAAGCCTTTCTCTACTCTTCAATCTAGGACTGACCGATGGAAGCACCACCGAGGAGTGCAATCTTAACATAGGAGTAGATGAGGTAACTAGTGATTTTCAATCATGATTTGAGGTAATGCTATTAGATAGTAGATTAGTGACCAGATGTATTCTTTTAGGTTTTGACTTTGCTCAAGATGTCACTGGTATCAAAAACACCTTTGACAGGAACTTTTTTGAAGCACAGTCCAACGCCTGAGTTGGACCAAAAATATTTTGATATCAGCAAATCTGGAAGGGAGGAATCAGCAACAGATGTAAGCGGGAAGACTTTCATGATCAAGCTTATAGTCAGCAAATCCAAGAAGATGGTTTATTATGCAGAAACAAGTGAAGCTTTTGTTAATTTACTCTTCAGTTTCCTTACTGTTCCACTTGGATATGCATTGAAGATGCACACCGGCACTTGGAAAGGATGCATAAATCATCTGTACAATAGCATTCACGAACTTGATGCAGACCAATTTCTGAAATCAAATAAGCACAAGGAAATGCTTCTCAGTCCCAAGCTTGCCCCTAATTTTGGCTATGAGAATCATCCTTTGGGCATTGAGGAAGATAAACATCCACCTTACTATTATATATATGGTGAAGACAAACTGATTTCTGATGAAACAATTGTTCCCACAACGGGAATTTCACGTTTAACTGTTTTGGATCCTGAGTCAAGCTCTAAGGACACTGCAAAAGGAGGATTTGTTAAGGGACCTGCAATGTTCACCATAACTGACAATCTGACCATAAAGCCTATATCACCAATCTCATGTCTTTCTGTTTTAAAGAAATTGAAGGTAACTTTCAATGACATCGAGGTGCGTCTTGTGAAAGTGGGGTATGAGGAGGTGAGTTAGCATATTCAATTCTGAAATAAAAAGCAAATCATGATTTTTTGTTTTAAATTGAAATTCTTTCAAAAATCTTTAGGCCTTATTATAAAATTTTGTGAAATTTGACAGGCAAGTTTTATATATATCAATCATGTTCAGTCTAACAGATTTATCTTTCCTTTTTTGAGTGACAGGGTAAAATGTTACTATATATTTGGAAAATCATAAATCAATTTATGTATGGAATGTTGTTCATGAGAAACCTATTTATGTATGTGTTATAGTTTGTCTTTGTATTCTGGTTTGCTCTTTCTTAGAGGGTATTATTGCAGTATAATTATATAAAAGATTTGGTACAAGAGGTGCATTGTAGTGTAAGATATTTTCCGGTTTTGTCAGCAGTTTAGCCCTTAGTACACCTTAGTTACATTATTAAGTAAGACATGATTAGCAGGGAAAAATCTCCTTGTGGGTTGCATCTACCGTATTTTAAGGTTTCTGCCTCATATTGGGCAGAACATTAGCAGTCTTATTAGCTTCGAAGTGTGACTAAAAGATCAGCTAATTCGTTCAATTTTAAAATTCTCAAGGTTTTCATTTCCTGATAATTTGAATCTTTATATAATTCCTTGAATCTTATTGAATTGCAAGACAATGACATATCAAGACAGCTTGATGATAGATTGTAGGATAAAACCACTTTATAAATCCTTGCATTGTTTTCCTTGATTTTTCGAAATCTAATGAGCACAAGGAAATGCTCATCAGTCCGAAGCTCGCCCCTGATTTAGCCATGAGAACAATCCTTTAGACATTGAAGAAGGTTTGCACCCAACATACCGTGCTACAGAATATTATGTATATCCTCATGTTATGAATTGACTTCTGATGGTCAAATCTTCTGGATCTACTTTGAGAAGTTCAATTTTACTGTCAAGGATCCTAAGTCTCATTTTAAAGAAGCCAAAAGACGAGGGTTTGTGACTGGACCAACAAGTTTACCGTAACTGACAATCTGATCACAAACCCATGTCTCAAGTCCAAAGTCTGTGTCTTTTGAAAGAATTGAAAGTATCTATAGCGATATTGAGGAGCGTGTTGTGCATGTGGGCAGTGAGAAGGTAAGTTGACATAAATATTTCAATATTAAACTCTAACAAAGCATCCCATGATTTCTGATGGTAGTTTCTTTGACTATTTTGAGATCTTGCTATAGAGATGCATGGTGATTTTGGCATACAACCTTTAAGAATTTCTTCGAAATTCAAGTCCCTATGATTTAACTTTAACCTGTTAGAATGTTACTATTGGAAACCATAAAGTATGATGAGTCCAGCATATATATCATTTTCAGTTTCTTAGTGCAAAACATTATTCTGGGACATTATCACAGAGATTCACCCAGCAAGGTGCAGCAAACAAATAAAGTTTCACATGTATTTTAGGTTTTTCTACATTGGCAAGAGCAATAGAGGTCTTATTGCTTTAAAGTAACAACGAAGAATTGTATCAGCCAAATTCTTATTTCTTCATAGGTTTTAGATTCCCATACTATTTGTATGTTTATTATTTTTGTTTTTTTAAGTCTTGTCAAATTGCAAAGCATTGCCATCTACAAATGCATTGTTTTCAATCATAGTAAGTGACAGTAAGAAGTAAAATACAAAGCTATCAGATTATTCTGCCAAGCCAATAATCTACCACACTAAGCTAGTGCCAATTCTACTTTGTTTATGCATAACCACTCCCATTAATTAGACTATATAAATGGAGAGCTTGATTCAAAAGCTGTTCAAGAAGAGAAATTGAAGATTATCTGAAAGCATGATATCAATTCCCTGTTGATACTTATGAATTGTTTCCTTGTTGATACCTTATAAATTGTGTTTACTTTGCAGGCTTTGCATCTATTGGTGGCTTCTTTGATTCAGAATTTGCTTTGACCATGCCTTTCTGAGAGTGCCAAATTCAGAATAGTCAAGATAATTTTTTTCAGCTAAAATATAGAATGTGTTCATGTGAAACCTTTTTATATTTGTTAAAATTTGTGTTTGTACTCTAGCATGCTCTTAGAAAAGAGGGTATTGCATATATGTTACTACAAAGGATTTGCATTGTATTTGCAATTTGAGTTTGCTGATGTGCGTACAGCTTTCTTTCTACAAACACACACAACAAAACATGTTTTCTTCTAATCTGCACAAATTGAGAAACAAGACATCTGTGTTACAACTGTCAGGTTTTTATGCGAGTTTGGAAACTAAACTTCTGAAATTTTTATTTTTATAAAATTTCCAGAAGCAAGACGCATGAATAGGCAAATGACATGGTGTTTGTGGACTGAAAAAATGGGTCAACTGAAGCCAATAAATATACATTATACGTTTTGTTTAAGATGTGGGAAGTAATAAACTTTGTTTCCAAGAAAAAGTGACCCTAATTTGACATCAGATAGTGGTGTTAATAGTTAAGAATGAAGGGAATGAATTATCTTGTAAGGTAGCTGTGAGTTTCTTTATATATCTATATATTAATTACAAAAGAACTTTTCCCTTGACCAAAAACACAAATTATGTCAACAAAATTACAAATAACCAAACTCTTGGCTATATATATATATATATATATTATATATATATATATATATATATATAATATTAATTTGAGTCATTGAGCTCTTTCAACTTCCTTCATATTAATCCACCTTGCCTTGGCATCATCATGCATTATCTTTTGATCCTCTTACTGTATATATTCTTTCCTAAAATTTTGCTCGGTACAATCTTTGATCCTTTCTAAATCTTATTACGATTCTTTCCAGCAATGTGCTAGCTGGAAACAGGCACCATATCTTACTTTATAATGTATTGTCCGTAGAGTTGCAACATTTTGTTAGCTTAAGTTACATGTTTTGGACTGTTAATTTCTTCTCCCTTAAGAATTCTTGCTTTAAAAAGGCAGTTGCTAAAGGATGGACCACACATGTAGGGAACCTTTAAAATTAACAGTCGCATTATTCCAGTTTCTAAGAATATATATTTTCTCTGTTACAAGAAGATCCAAAGTCAAGTCAAGTAAAGTACTGGACTGTTCATTTCTCTCCCTTAAAGATTCTTGCCTTCAAAAGGAAGTGTGTAAAGTTAGTGGACCACACATGTAGGATGCACTTTTTAACTTACTTAAAACCTCTTTCTGCTTGATTTTCTGCTCTCTGCTCCAGAATCCTTCATTGAACTCCTCTCCAGCAACAGTAGCTTGGTGATCACCAGGTACTATATATTTTTTGTCATTAACATCAGTTACTTTTGAAGTTAGGTCTTGAGATCTGAGCTAGAGTTAATCGCAGACTATATGGGCTGTTTTCTCGTGAATTATTACTTGTATTAGTCATTATCTTAGCTTATTCGTCAGTGTTTAGAATGATTTAATCATTATTTCAATCCCAGAAATCTCTAAACATTCAAGATTTTAACGACTTGTAAACTTAATAATGATCACATCTCCACCATCTTATTGTTTTGATTTTTCTGATGATGTTCTTTTCTAGGCCGTTGAACTCCTTAAGTAAGTTTATGAAAAAGTTTATATAAAACCGTTACTTCGTTCAATCATCAATGATTTATGTTTTTTCCTTATGTACAATATGTATGTGAACATTTGCGCTAAGAAAAAGTCCTTGAATCTTCCAGCCTTGTGGAGATCAGCTATGAATCATGGTGTTTTTAAACAATTTATCCTTTTCCTTGTTTCAAGAAAATGGCTATTTGTTGAATTCTGCTTTTGCAATTAGATTTTGTTTACGAAATCCAGAACTATATGCTTTTAGTCAGAAAATGAGCTGTTGCATAGATTTCAAAATTTCAATTTCTGAAGTGTATGAACGTACAAGGGTTCAGGCTTAGATAAGTAATTGATTAAGCATTGATTTTGCTGGCTGTATTCAGTTTTGAACAAAGCAAGATTTGAAAGCATATACTCAATGACTACGGAGGAAGCAAAAGCAATTAGCTTGAAGACCTTGGTGGATTAAAAGAAAACAGAGTTATATTTGTGGAATCAGATGAGGACTTTCTGATGTTCTCTTTAGTTTCTGACAATGCCCATGGGAACAATCATCAGGTATTTCAATCATAATCAACCGCAACAGTGGCGGTAGGTTGCATGAACAATTTGTATAAAAGCATAAGAACCTTGACATGCAGTGTTTCCGGACTGAAGCATGCAGACCATGTTGCTATCCCCAGAAATGACGCTGCACCTCAGAACAAGAGACTAAAATTGCAAATTGACGATGGTGAGCTGCGAGGTACTTCTTGGCACTACGGATTGTACCTTTCTGGGCACAGTTATTGAGTCTCTACCCTGATGCTGTTTGCGAATGTGGACGCACATGGATGGAAATGGAGTTGTTAGAGAAGACTGAACAAAAGTATTTTGATGCTCAAGATAGCGGAGTGTTTGTTAAGGACTGAACCAATTTATAATAAGTGATGAACTACAAGTAAAGCCCTCATCAATGAAGCAAGCGTTTCTGTGCTCGAAGCAGGATGACGGACTGTAGCACCATTGAGGAGTAAACTACTACAACATCGACGTAGGAGTAGATGAGGTAACTGTTTCATTCTGATTCTAAAATTTAATATTTTTATCGGATTCTACCATCATTTGTAGTTAAGAAAGTTTTGTAAGATTAAACAGGTACATGAAGAAACCAATTCGTACTCTGATAGGGGCAGACCCACATGGGGTCAAGTGACCCCACTTGGAATTTTTTTAATGTTTTCATTTTGGCCATAAAAAAACTAAATTACAAATTACGTAATTAAATTAATTAAAAATTTTACTTTTCTCTAAAAATATTTTTTCCCTTTTTCTCCAATTCCAACTTTTTCTCTTGTCCAACTGCCCCCACTCATCTCTCCAATCCCTATTTTTCTCTAATAATATATTGAAATTATGCAATCATTTAATTTTGTATTAATTTATTTATGATGAAGATTACATTAGCTTTACAAATGAACATTCTCAAGCTATAAAGAAAAGATCAAGATATGTAAAGGTTATGAATTTGATTGAAGCATGTAAGCAAACTTATAAATTGATGAGGGATAGTGTGTGGAGAATTTACTTAGCAAAGTTATAAAAAACGTGCATTATTACCGTATTAAAGTATTTTATAGTGTCCTAGATATATAGCTTCAAGGGTGATAATCGTTTTTATTGAGGTAAATAATGAATTATTTTGTTTGCATGCTTATGTCCAAATGAAAATTTGTTTACTTTGATAAGCAAAAATTGATGCGTTGCTGAATTTATCCATAAGATTTTTCTAACTTAGAATCATAGCACTTGATTCTTAATTTGATATTTACATTTTGGATGCTCTAATGTCAAATTTATGAAATTGAATGGGATTGAAGATCTTGCAAGAGTGATGGTTGAAACAAAGAAGGATAGAGTGTTTCCATTAGTTAATCTATTAATAAAATTAGCATTGATTTTACCGGTAGTCACTGTTAGTGTAAAGAGAGCATTTTCATCAATAAATGTTGTGAAGAATCATTTGCGAAATAGAATGAGTGATTAATGGTTGAATGATAGTTTAATTTTGTATATAAAGAATGATGATTTGATAATATTGATAATGAAATCATTATACAATATATTAAAAGATAAAATCTCGTTGAGGATAATTATAAATATATAGTTAACGAGCATTTATTAATACAAATATTTGTGTTTATTTATATTTATATTTATGTTAATTGTTATTTTAATGTTTCACCCCTAGTTTCATTCCTCTGGTCTGCCCGTGTGTGATGAAACTCTCCTGAAAATAATTCACCTTCAATGCAGTTTGCTTTTTAGAAGTAAATGATGGGGACTAAAAGAAAAAAAACGTTTCGTAGTCAAGTTAAAATTGTCCGAAACTATTAGATCAACAATTATAATTGACAAAAAGTAGGGCTTTTGAATTTGATCTTGACATAGAAGGCTTAGTAGAGACTTCCTGGAGAGGGCTGAGTGTCAAAAGCTCAAACGTGGGCATACCAACTTAAAATAGCCATGACTTTTGATTTATAAGGAGTTACGGGACCTATAAGATATTAACAAAAAGTTTGTTTCGAGCCCGACAACGGGCAACCCGCGTCCTTTGTTAGGTGGTGTATTCAAGCCCAAAATCCACTGTTTCGACTTGTTAAGGGGGCGTTTAATTTTGTGTGTTTTTCCTCTTTATTAGAGTTATCTAATGTGATAATTAGCAAAAATTAGGATTTCCTTTTTTTTTTAATTAATTTGTTTTTATTTCCTTATGATTGAGAGTCTTTTCTTAGGTTTGTTTTCACCACCCTCCATAAAGGTATATTTGTTTTTTTAAGATATAAAATGATTTCACATTTTCCTTCAATTTATGAATTAAGTTTCTATGATTGAGAATGTTAATAGACAAAAGGCATAATTGTGTGTTAGTCTTGTTTTTACGCTCGACGTAAGATCTACTATTATCTTTATTATGTCATCTCTTTGAATATGATTAATAATTTCCCATTTGTAAGATAGTTGGTTGGGCTCGTGACCTGATGCCTTCTTTCAGGTTCTCACTTTGCTCAAGTGCTCCATAGTATCAAAGAAACCTTTGACAGAAACTTTGTGAAACAAAATTCAGCACAAAGTCGGCAAAGAAGATTTTGATCAGAATATCTATGTTGAGTCTACAGTGAAGAACCAGAATCAATGTGGATGGGAGATTAATGTAAAGCTTATTATCAGCAAATCAAGAATGGTTTGTTTTGCCGAAGCAAGTAAAGAATTTGTTGATTTAGTTTCCAGTTTCCTAACTGTTCCACTTGGTTATATAAAAAGAAATGCAGAGTGGCTTTTCAAAAGGATCATTAACTCACCTGTACAATAGTGTTAAGGAACTCGATACTGAGAAATACTTGAATTGATGAGCACAAGAAAATGCTATCGGTCCGAAGCTCGCCCCTTATTTTAGCTATGAGAACCATCCTTTAGGCATGAAGAAGGTTTGCACCCAACATACTGTGCTACAGAATATTGTGATGTATATCCTTGGCGTTATGAACTTACTTCTGATGGTAAAATTCCTTCTGGATCTTATTGGAGAAGTTCAATTTAACTGTCAAGGATCCTAAGTCTCATTTTAAAGAAGCCACAAGAGGAGGATTTGTGACTAGACCAACAATGTTTACCGTAACTGACAATCTGATCATCACACCATATCTCAATTCCAAAGTCTGTGTTTGAACAAATTGAAAGTACCTTTCAACGATATTGAGGAGCGTGTTGTGCATGTGGATCGTGAGAAGGTAAGTTGACATATATTTCAGTATTAACTCTAACAAAGCATCCATGATTTTTGATAGTAGTTTCTTTTGACTATTTTGAGATCTTGTTTTAGAGACGCATGGTGTTTTGGCATACAACCTTTAAGTATTTCTTTGAAATTCAAGTCCCTATGATTTAACTTTCTTTCATTTTGCTAACCTGCTAGAATGTACTATTGGAAACCATCCAGTATCTGGGACATAATCATAGAAATTCATCCAGTAAGATGCAGCAAACAACTTAAAAGTTTCATACTGTATTTTAAGGTTTTTCCTCACATTGGCAAGAGCATTAGAAGTCTTATTTGTTTTAAGAACAATGAAGAACTGCATCAGCCAAATAGCTCATTTCTTCATAAGGTTTAGATTCCCATACTATCTGTATCTTTTATATTTTTATGTTGAAGTCTTGTCAAATTGCAAGGCATTGCCAGCTACAAATGCATTTTTTTCAATCAATAGTAAGTGACAGTATAGAAGTAAAATATACAAATGCTGTCAGTTTATTGTGCCGAGCCAATAATTACCAAACTAAGCTACTGCCAATTCTGTTTTGCTGCTGCATTACCACCTCCCATTAATTAGACTATACAAATGGAGAGTTTTGATTCGAAGCTGTTCAAGAAGAGAATCCATTGAAGATGATGTGAAAGCATGATATCCATTCTCTTGTTGATACCTTATGAATTTGTTTTTGATACCTTATGAATTTATTTACTTTGCAGGCTTTGCATCTATTGGTGGCTTCTTTTGTATCGAATCTGCTCTGACCCATGCCTTTCGAGAGAGCCAAATCCATATTTCAACTAAAATAAGGAATGTTGTCATGTGAGAACTATTTATAATTTGTGTTTGTGCTTGGTATGCTCTTAGATCAGAAGGTATTCCATATAAGTATGTTACTACAAAGGATTTGCATTGTATCTATTATTGTGGGACAGATTTCCAATTTTAGCTCCAACGTGGATAGCATTCAACAAACTGGAGTATGATCTATAAAAAACTGGAGGTAAATTTGATTTATACCTATAACATAATGAGTCACGGCTACAAGATTGAGAAACCAATTTCTGTTCTCTTCTACATATTAATACTTTCTCTCTTACAAGAAGATCAAAAGTCATCATTCATCAACGTCAAAAGGCATTGCACTGTGACACGATCTCATGAGAATTTTACTCTTTTGGTGATCAGAGTTGTTTCGGTCATTACACGTACATCAACTAATCCTCTTGAGCTCTAAAGTTGACGACAAATAAGCACCTCAGTAGCCACCCCTATAGGGACTGTGGAAACTCGAACTCAAGAGCTCTTGAAACCTCCTTTTGTTTTTATCACTGACCACCCAGTGATGATACGGGGATAAGTATATTGTACCATTAGAAATAAAACACATGAACTAGGTCATTCATACGGTACTGAGTGATTACAATTGCTATTTGAACTAATTTGCAATCAGAGGGTGGGGTGTGAGGTCCATAAGATGGGACTCCTTGCACTGTGACACGATCCATGAGAATGCAAGTTCATAAGGATGATCTATAATTAAGTAGACGTAAGTCTATAATACAATCGTTTATGTCAAGCTCAAAAGTAAATCCAGGCAAACAAAGTGCACTTTTCAGGCGTGACACAAGGATCATAGGGTGCATTTTGGATAAGAAAAATATTATCCTTACAAAGAAGGTTACAAAGTGACATCATCCAGAAAAAAAATAAAGAAAAAAACAAAAAAGGAAAGAGAGAGAGAGAAAAATCATGAAATAAAGGTAGGGATTATCTTTGTATGCCCTCTTTGTATGTGTTTGTTTAAAACTAACATTGCTCTTTGGGTAATGACACTTGTATTCAAACAAAGTATGTAATTTTTGAAAGCTTATTTGAAACCAAAAATATATCGTATAAGCTCAAAAACAAATCCATACAAATTGGACACAAATACCCACCGGATAGTCAATGGTAAACACGAATCAAGGGGCTATGCATGGCGTCAATCCATAGTTTTAGATTCGATTCCTCGTCAGGACCAGGTGTTTACCTGGGGCTACAGCATTAGATGTGTGCTAAGAGCGCATAAACTGATATAGACATCTTAATTACAAAAAAAAAAAAAAAAAAAAGGGACACAAATTCCTCACTATTCCGAGATAAAAAAGTCAGGTCAATTATGGGACTGCTGATTTCTTCTCCATCAAGAAATTCCTTTCCTAAGATGTGTAAAGATGATAGGTCTACACAGTGATGCACCTTTAACTTTACTGTCTCTACAAGCTTTTCTACTGTTTTCCCTTCGCTCTCCGACCCTTCCTAAGTCCTTCATTACACTTCTCAAGCAACACTACCTGCATTGTGGATCATCAGGTACCCATACATAACTTCATCATAAATCATCACTTCTATAAATGTGGGTTTCTTAGCTAGCTGATAGAGACTTTTGTTAGTGTTTTAATCTTCTTCAAATACATGCTGGAATGATTTAACTGTTATTTCAACCCCCACAAGGCTAAACATTGAAGATTAGAGTGATTTCAATGGATTAATTTTAATGGTTTAGTTCCAGACTTCCACTTATAATGAACAATTATTTTCTCCAGAATGTAGCTTAGTTCCATTTTCTCTTGGAATAATATTTTCTCTGTTACAAGAAGATCAATAGTCAAGTAAAGTATTGGACTCTTCATTTCTTCTACCTTAAGAATTCTTGCCTTGAAAAGGAAGTTGCTAATGATAATGTACCACACATGTACGGATACACCTTTAAAATTAACTATAGCATAGCTCCATTTCTCTTGGAATAATATTTTCTCTGTAACAAGAAGATCAAAAGCCAAGTCAAGTACTGGACTCATTTCTTCTCCCTTAAGAATTCTTGCCTTTGCTAAAGATAATGGACCACACATGTACGGATACACCTTTTAACTTACTTAAAACTTCTCTTCTACTTCATTTTCTCCACTCTCTGTTCTCTGAATCCTTCATTGGACTCCTCTCCAGCAAAAGTAGCTTGGTTATCACCAGGTACTATATATGTTTTTGTCATATAGCATCAGTTACTTTCAAAGTTAAGCTCTTGAGCATCTGAGCTAGAGTTTCTAGCATGACTATATGGGCTGTTTTCTCTGTAGGATTATGACTTGTATTAGTTATTTAATCTTAGCTTTTATTCATCAGTGCTTAGAATGTTTTAATCATTATTTCAATCCCAGAAAGCTCTAAACATTGAAGATTTTTACGACTTGTAAACCATAATTGATGATCAAATTAATTACACATTTTCCACCATCTTCTTGTTTTGGTTTTTCTGATGATGTTCATTTCTAGCCCATTGAACTCCTTTAACTGAGTTTATGAAAAATTTTATATAAAACTCATTACTTTGTTCAGTGATTTATGTTTTTTCCTATATGTACAATATGTATGTGAACATTTCCGCTAAGAAAAAGTCCTTGAATCTTCCAGCCTTGTGGAGATCAGCTCAGAATCATGGTGTTTTATTTGTTGAATTTCTGCCTTTTGCAATTAGATTTTGTTTACGAAATCCAATAACTATATATGCTTTTTTTTTTAAATGAGCTTTTGCATAGATTTCAAAATTTCTTGAAGTGTATGAACACAAGGCTTCAGGCTTAGATAAGTAATTGATTAAACATTGATTTTGCTGGTTGTATTCAGTTTTGAACAAAGCAAGTTTTGAAAGCATATTCTCAATGACTACGGAGGAAGCAAAAGCAATTAGCTTGAAGACCTTGGTGTATAAAAAGAACAACAGAGTTATATTTGTGGAATCAGATGAGGTCTTTACTGATGTTCTCTTTAGTTTCTTGACAATGCCCATGGGAACAATCATCAGGCTTATTTCTAATCATAATCAACCACCAACAGTGGGGATAGGTTGCATGAACAATTTGTATGAAAGCATTAAGAACCTTGACATGCAGTGTTTCTGGACCGAAGCGTGCAAGACCATGTTGCTATGCCCCAGAAATGACGCTGCGCCTCAGAACGAGAGACTGAAATTGCAAATTGACGATGGTGAGGTGCCGAGGTACTTCTTGTGCACCAAGGATTGTACCCTTTCTGAGCACAAGTTACTCAGTCTCTACCCTAATGCTGTTTGCGATTGTGGACGGCTCATGGATACAACGATCGAGTTGTCAGATGCTCAAGATAGAGGAGTGTTTGTTAAAGGACGGACCCAATTTATAATAAGTGATGAATTACAAGTACAGCCCTCATCAATAGAAGCAAGCCTTTCTGAGGTGTCCAAGCTAGGACTCATGGACTTTAGCGCCGTTGAGGAGTACAACATCGACATAGGAGTAGATGAGGTAACTATTTCATTCTGATTCTAAAATTTAATAATTTTATCAGATTCTAAAATTTAATAATTTGTAGTTAAGAACCGTTTTATAGGATCAAACTTAGTACATGAAGAAACCAATTTGTACTTTTGATGAACATCTCGTGGAAATAATTCACCTTCAATGCACTTTGCTTTTTTAGAAGTAAATGATGGGGATTAAAGAAAAAAGGAAAGAAAAATGTTTCGCAGTTAAGCCAAAAATGTCAGAAGTTAACTAGTCAATAATTATAATTGGCAAAAGGTAGGGCTTTTGAATTTGATCTACTATTATCTTTTATTATATCAGCTCTCTGAATATGATTATTAAGTTCACAATTTGTTAGATAGCTGAACTGTGGTTGTGTTCATGACCTATCGCTGTCAGCCTTCTTTCAGGTTCTCACTTTACTGAAGTGTTCACTGGTGTCAAAGAAACCTTTGACAGAGACTTTGTTGGAACGAAATTCAGCACCAAAGTTCGGCAAAGAAGATTTTGATCAGAACATCTATGTTGAATCTACAGTAGAAGAATCAGAATCAAATGTGGATGGGAAGATTCATGTAAAGCTTATCATCAGTAAATCCAAGAAAATGGTTTGTTTTGCCGAAACAAGTGAAGAATTTGTTGATTTAGTCTCCAGTTTCCTAACTGTTCCACTTGGTTATATAATAAAAGAAATGCAGGAAAGCATTTCAATAGGATCCTTAACTAACCTATACAATAGTGTCCAGGAACTTGATGTTGAGAAATACTTGAAATCTAATGAGCACAAGGAAATTCTCATCAGTCCGAAGCTCGCCCCTGATTTTAGCCATGAGATCAATCCTTTAGTCATTGAAGAAGGTTTGCACCCAACATACCGTGCTACAGAATATTATCAATATCCTTATCATTATGAATTGACTTCTGATGGTCAAATTCCTTCTGGATCTACTTTGAGAAGTTCAATTTTAACTGTCAAGGATCCTAAGTCTCATTTTAAAGAAGCCAAAAGACGAGGGTTTGTGACTGGACCAACAATGTTTACCGTAACTGACAATCTGATCATCACACCCATGTCTCAAGTCCAAAGTCTGTGTCTTTTGAAAGAATTGAAAGTATCTTTTAGCGATATTGAGGAGCGTGTTGTGCATGTGGGTAGTGAGAAGGTAAGTTGACATAAATATTTCATTATTAAACTCTAACAAAGCATCCCATGATTTCTGATGGTAGTTTCTTTTGACTATTTTGAGATCTTGCTATAGAGATGCATGGTGATTTTGGCATATAACCTTTAAGAATTTCTTCGAAATTCAAGTCCCTATGATTTAACTTTAACCTGTTAGAATGTTACTATTGGAAACCATAAAGTATGATGAGTCCAGCTATATATATCATTTTCAGTTTCTTAGTGCAAAACATTATTCTGGGACATTATCACAGAGATTCACCCAGCAAGGTGCAGCAAACAATATAAAGTTTCGTACATGTATTTTAAGGTTTTTCCTTACATTGGCAAGAGCAATAGAGGTCTTATTAGCTTTAAAGTAACAACGAAGAATTGTATCAGCCAAATATCTTATTTCTTCATAAGGTTTTAGATTCCCATACTATTTGTATGTTTTATTATTTTTATGTTTTAAGTCTTGTCAAATTGCAAAGCATTGCCATCTACAAATGCATTGTTTTCAATCAATAGTAAGTGACAGTATAGAAGTAAAATACAAATGCTATCAGATTATTCTGCCAAGCCAATAATCTACCACACTAAGCTAGTGCCAATTCTACTTTTGTTTATGCATCACCACCTCCTATTAATTAGACTATATAAATGGAGAGTTTTGATTCAAAAGCTGTTCAAGAAGAGAATATTGAAGATTATCTGAAAGCATGATATCAATTCCCTTGTTGATACTTTATGAATCTGTTTCCCTTGTTGATACCTTATAAATTTGTTTTACTTTGCAGGCTTTGCATCTATTGGTGGCTTCTTTGATATCGGAATCTGCTTTGACCAATGCCTTTCTGAGAGAGCCAAATTCAGAATAGTCAAGTTAATTTTTTTCAGCTAAAATATAGAATGTTGTTCATGTGAAACCTTTTTATATATTTTGTTAAAATTTGCGTTTGTACTCTAGCATGCTCTTAAACAAGAGGGTATTGCATATATGTTACTACAAAGGATTTGCATTGTATTTGCAATTTCAGTTTGCTTATGTGCGTAACATCTTTCTTTCTCACAAACACACACAACAAAACTATGTTTTTCTTCTAATCTGCACAAATTGAGAAACAAGACATCTGTGTTACAACTTTCAGGTTTTTATGCGAGGTTGGAAGCTAAACTTCTGAAATTTTTATTTTTATAAAATTTCCAGAATCAAGACGCATGAATAGGCAAATGACATGGTGTTTGTGGACTGAAACATTGGCTCAACTGAAAGGCAATAAATTATACATTTATATATTTTGTTTAAGATGTGGGAAGTAAACTTTGTTTCCAAGAAAAAGTGACCCTAATTTGACATCAGATAGTGGTGTTAATAGTTAAGAATGAAGGGATAATGAATTATCTTGTAATTGGTAGCTTGTGAATTTTCTTTATATATCTATTTATTAATTACAAAAGTAACTTTCCCCTTTACCAAAAACACAAATTATGTCAACAAAATTACAAAATAACCAAACTCTGGGCTTAACTTACTGTATATATTCTTTCCTAAAATTTTCTGCTCGGTACACTCTTTGATCCTCTCTAAAATCTTATTACGCTTCTTTCCAGCAATGTACTAGCTGGAAACCAGGCACCATATCTTACTTTATAATGTATTCGTCCGTAGAGTTGCAACATTTTTGTTAGCTTAAGTGACATGATTTGGACTGTTAATTTCTTCTCCCTTAAGAATTCTTGCTTTAAAAAGGAAGTTGTTAAAGACAATGGACCACACATGTAGAGAGCATTTTCTCTAAGAATAAATATTTTCTCTGTTACAAGAAGATCCAAAGTCAAGTCAAATACGGGACTGTTCATTTCTTCTCCCTTAAGAATTCTTGCCTTCAAAAGGAAGTTGCTAAAGTTAGTGGACCACACATGTACGGATGCACTTTTTAACTTACTTAAAATCTCCCTTCTACTTGATTTTCTCCACCCTCTGCTCTCTGAATCCTTCATTGAACTCCTCTTCAGCAACAGTAGCTTGGTGACCAGCAGGTACTATATATGTTTTTGTCATATAACATCAGTTAATTTTAAAGTTAAGTTCTTAAGCATCTGAGCTAGAGTTAATCGCATGACTATCTGGGCTGTTTTCTCTGTAGAATCATGACTTGTATTAGTCATTTTATCTTAGCTTTTATTCGTCAGTGTTTAGAATGTTTTAATCATTATTTCAATCCCAGAAAGCTCTAAACATTGACGCTTTTCCGACTTGTCAACCTTAATTAATGATCAAATTAATTACACATCTCCATCTTCTTGTTTTGAATTTTCTGATGATGTTCTTTTCCAGCCCATTGAACTCCTTTAAGTTTATGAAAAAGTTTATATAAAACTCGTTACTTCGTTCAATCATCAATGATTTATGTTTTTTCCTATATGTACAATATGTATGTGAACATTTGCGCTAAGAAAAAGTCCTTGAATCTTCCAGCCTTGTGGAGATCAGCTTAGAATCATGGTGTTTTTGAATCAATTTATCCTTTTCCTTGTTTCAAGAAAATGGCTATTTGTTGAATTTATGCTTTTTGCAATTAGGTTTTGTTTACAAAATCCAGTAACTATATATGCTTTTAGCCAGAAAATGAGCTTTTGCATAGATTTCAAAATTTCCTGAAGTGTATGAACACAAGGCTTCAGGCTTAGATAGTAATTGATTAAGCATTGATTTTGCAGGTTGTATTCAGTATTTGAACAAAGCAAGAATTGAAAGCATATACTCAATGACTACGGAAGAAGCAAAAGCAATTAACGTGAAGGCCTTGGTGGATAAAAAGAACAACAGAGTTATATTGTGGAATCAGATGAGGACTTTACTGATGTTCTTTTTAGTTTCTTGACAATGCCCAAGGGAACAATCATCAGGCTCATTTCTAATCATAATCAGCCACCGACAGTGGGGATAGGTTGCATGAACAATTTGTATGAAAGCATTAAGAACCTTGACATGCAGCGTTTCCGGACTGAAGCATGCAAGACCATGTTGCTATGCCCCAGAAATGACGCTGCACCTCAGAACAAGAGACTAAAATTGCAAATTGACGACGGTGAGCTACCGAGCTACTTCTTGTGCACTACGGATTGTACATTTTCTGGGCACAAGTTATTGAGTCTCTACCCTAATGCTGTTTGCAAATGTGGACGGGTCATGGATAGGACGATGGAGTTGTCAGAGAAGACTGTAGAAAAGTTAGGCTTTGATGCTCGAGATAGAGGAGTGTTTGTTAAAGGACTGACCCAATTTATAATAAGTGACGAATTACAAGTAAAGCCCTCATCAATAGAAGCAAGCGTCTCCGTACTGTCCAAGCTAGGACTCATGGACTGTAGCGCCATTGAGGAGTATAACTACTACAACGTCGACATAGGGCAGATGAGGTAACTGTTTCTTTCTGATTCTAAAATTTAATATTTTTATCGGATTTTACCATAACTTGTAGTTAAGAATCGTTTTGCATGGTTAAACATAGTACATGAAGAAACCAATTCGTACTCGTGATGAACATCTCTTGGAAATAATTCGCCTTCAATGTTGTTTGCTTTTTTAGAAATAAATGATAGGGATTAGAAGAAAAAATGTTCCGCAGGCAAGCCAAAAATGTTAGAAGCTGAACTAATCAACAATTATAATTAACAAAAAGTAGGGCTTTTGAATTTGATCTTGAAATAGAAGGTTTATTAGATGACTTCTTTGATAGGGCCGAGCGTCAGAAGCTCAAATACGGGTACACCAACTTAAAACAATCATAATTCTTCATCTGAAGGAATTACGGGGCCCATACGATATAAATAGAAAGCTCGTTTCGAGCCTGGCAATGTGGCAATCCAGGTCCCCAGTTGAGTGTCTTTTTCAAACCCAAAATCCATTGTTTCGATGTGCTTACAGGCCGTTTCAGTTTTCTATGCGTTTTTCCTATTTTATTTAGAGTCCTTTCTTATGTGATAATTAGTCAACAGTTAGAATTTCCTTTTTTTTTTTTTTAATTAATTGGTATTTTATTTCCTTGTTGATTAGAAGTCTTTTGTTAGGCTTGGTTATTTCTCCCCTAGATAAACCTATTATTTATTTTTTTAAGATATAGAATGATTTTTAGATTTTCCTTCAACTTTACGAACTAAGTTTCTAATAAGCAAATTCGTTTATTGACCATAACGGCATAATTGTGTGTTAGTCTTGTTTTTACGCTAACTCTCTATGTTAGATCTACTATCATCTTCTATTATACCATCTCTCTGAATATGATTAATAATTTCCCAATTTGTTAGATAGCTGAACTGTGGTTGTGTTCGTGACCTGATGCCTTCTTTCAGGTTCTCACTTTGCTCAGGTTGTTGGTTCAAGGAAGAAAAGATGAGAGTAAAATTGAGAGAGATTGAACATGAAAGAGACGGCAAGATTTTTTTTTAAGGGGGTTTTTCTCGCATTTCTTTCATTGAACAGAGCAATGTATATACAAACTTAGTCACAGTTTTTACTTACTGCAGTAAATAAAATATTACAAATACACTTTAGCTAAAATTATGCACCAACCCAAGTCAAGTCTCAACAAAAAATGACAAAAAAAGTCTTCACATGAGTGGCCTGATATCTGCTCCAAACCACTGCTGTCATAACAAAACGAAAGCTGAAACTTTGGCTCCAAAACAGATTGAATATTAAACCAGAAGCTTTTCATTTCCAGCAGGTTATCACCTACATCATCACTCCTCCTTGATAAGCTTGCTGGAAACACCAAGTCTAAGTCTCAAACTCTCAAACTTGGTTTTAGGTAGTCCCTTGGGCATGATATCCGCAAGTTGATCTCACCACAATGGATTAGTTTTACTTCAGCATTGCTTTCGGTTCCTCACAGCATGAAACTTGATCTTGATGTGCTTTGTCTGCCATGTAGGATTGGATTCTTAGCCATGGCCACTGCTGATTGGTTGTCACAGTAAATTACAGTAGGTTCTTCTTGAACCTGCCTCAAGTCTAGCATAATTTTTCTTAACCAAATAGCTTGGTTAACTGCGGCAGCAGCAGAAATATATTCTGCTTCTGCCGTGGACGTGCTGTGGTGTCTTGTTTCTTGGAATGCCAGCATACTATCCCTGAGTTCAAGAAGAACACATAACCTGATGTACTCCTCATGTCATCAATGCAACCAGCCCAATCACTGTCAGAGTAGCCAACAAGCTGCAATTTTTCAGCCTTCTTGAACCATATTCCAAGCTCAACACTTCCTAAAATATCTCAGCACTCTCTTGGCTGCTTTAAGATGAATCTCAATAGGATTGGACATGAACTAGAAAAGACACTAGCAGCAAACATTAAATCTGGTCTGGTGGCAGTCAAGTACAGAAGGCAGCCTATGATGCTTCTGTACATTGTTTCATCAACTTTCTCAGCCCATCATCCTTACTCAATTTTAAATTCACAGCCAATGGAGTGTCCACGTTGTTCATTTGTTCATGTTGTACTTATGCAAAATTTGAGTTGCATACCTCTTTGATTGACAATATCCATGGTGACTTTGGGGATTTCCATCCCAAGAAAGTAGGAATCTCCCCTAGATCAGTCATCTCAAATTCCTGCATGGCTGATTTGAAATCATAAGGTGATTTAGGCTGCTTCCCATGATCAGTAGGTCATCAACATAAGAGAAATTATGGTACACCCATTTTCCAGCCTCTAACATATAATGTGTGCTATTAGCACTCCTTGCATAACCCAAACTCATCAAATACTCATTGATTCTGTGTACCAGGCTCTTGGAGCCTGTTTCAGGCCATATAAGGCCTTTTCAGCAAATACACCTTATGCTCCTGCCCTTCCACTTCATATCCCTCCGGTTGCCCACAAAAATTCCTCATTGAGCCAACCATTTAGGAATGCTGACTTGACATCTAGTTGGTAGATTCTCCACTCAAATTGGGCAGCCAATGCAAGAAGAATCCTTTTAGTATCATGTCTAGCCACCGGTGCAAAGGTATCCGAAAAATCCACCCATATTGTTGAGCAAAACCCTTAACAACTAGTCTTGCTTATGTTTTACACTGAACCATCAGGCCTTAGCTTCCTTTTAAAATCCATTTACTTGGATCACTTCTGGTTTTGGTCTGTCAACTAACTCCCAAGTTCCATTCTTCTCAATCATGTTTATCTCCTCCTGCATGCATTCCTCCAGATTCGGATTGGCAGCCTCCCTGAAGTTTGCAGGTTCAATCATGGCGCTTACATCTCTCATAAACCTCAGTCAAGGACCTTGTTCCCCTGATTGGAAAATCATCATCCAAGTCTGCCTCTTCTGGAATGTCAAATCTGTCCACTGGAGCATCTGCAATCTGCTCTATTTTGTCCATTTCAACTTCATTTTTCTCCCAGTTCCAGGTCCCTTTTTCATCCACCCTCACATCCCTTGTGATGTGTATCTTCTTGGCTGCAGGATCATATACTCTATAGCTTGGATTGCTACTGTATCCTATAAAAACTCCTGTCAAAGCTTTCTCTCAAGTTTGCTTCTTTTAGATATGGAATGAGAGCATAACACACACTCCCAAAGATCTTAGGTTTCTAACTGAGGGTTTCATTCCATACCAAGCTCATAGGTGGGTTGATTTGTCAAGGCTTTAGTAGGGAGTCATTAAGCAAATAGACCCCTGTATTTACAGCTTCTGCCCAAAATGATTTAGGCAGCCTCTTCTCTGCAACCATGCACCTTGCCATCTCCATTAAAGTCCTATTCTTCCTCTCACTAACTCATTTTTGGTGGAGTATAGGGACAAACTGAACTGGTGAATAATTCCAGCCTCCCTGCAGATTTTTTCAAATTCATTGGAAGTATACTCACTCCATTATCACTTCTAACATTCTTATGCTTAAACCTGATTGCTTTTCAACTTGTACTTTAAACCTCTCAAACACCACTGCAACTTCACTCTTTAATTTCAAAAAGAACACCCAGCACATCCGGGAATAATATCAATGAAGAGGATAAATACTTGCTTCCATTTAGGATGGGTTTGCTAGGTCCACACACATCCGTTGGACAAGTTGCAGTTTTTCACTAGCTCTCCAGGCCTGTTTACAGGGAAGGGAAGTCTGCTATCTTGCCAAGTTGACAAGTGAACAAATGGTTTGTTTCACCAATTTTGGGCAGATCAGAGACCAATTCTTTGGTTTGAGTTTCTCTAAGGCTATGATAGTTTAAGTGGCCTAATCTCTTATGCCATAAGTCAGTCTCATCTACACTCACAACATATGTTTCTATGTCAGGTTTGTTCAAACTAATGGGAAAACTTTTTCCCATCATCCTAACTATTAATTCATTCCCTTCACTGTCCAAGATTGTGCAAAACTGATCCGGAAGTGCAGGGCATATTTCTCTCCATCATTTGACCAACACTCAAGAGATATGACTTAAACTAGGCACCTACAAGACATTGGAAATGAGTTTGATACATGATTTTGTTTGTACAGCAACATCTCCTTCCCTTTCACAGCTGCAAATTCCCCATTACCAACCTTAACCTTGGAATGGTAAGACTGTCCAAATTCACAAAGTCTTCCAAGTTTGCTGTCATGTGATTGTGCAACCACTATCTACAGCCAATCATCATTTTGAGCTTGAACAAAACTGCATGAGGCCACAAACAACTGCTCTGGATCTGAGTTTGGCTGGGTCCTACCAATCTGAGCTTGCGGTGTTGACTGAGTTGGTTTGCTTGCATACCTTTTCAATGTGACCAATTGCTTGCATGATCTACACGAACATTAGGCCTAAACCAGCACCTCTTTTCACTATGCCCCTTCTTCTTGCAGTGAGCACATGGTGGAAATTCTTTCCCTCCAGTCGGTTTATCCACTGGTTTTCCATTCTCTCCTTTCCTTTCTTTTCTCCGCAGGTTCCTGCTCACACTGGCCTGGTTACCTTTGAATCCAGCCACCATTGCACCTTCAGTAGTGTCCTCTGCCTCAACAATTCCTTTGTTTTGAGCTTGCAGGGGATACACAAATCAGTGGGGGTGATTGTGTCAAATCTTAGAATCCTAGTGAGGATATCTTAGATTCAAAACTTTCGGGTAGACTAACAAGAACTTTTCAACTATCCTTTTATCTGTCATCTCCTCTCCCATTAATCTGATTTTGTTTACCACATTCATCAACCTATCCACATAATCTTTTACGGTTAGATCCTGCATTTTCAGCATCTCAAACTCCCTTCTCAAGTTTAGCACTGCATACCCTTTGTTGTATCACTACCAACGAACTCTTTTGATTATCCCATGCTTCCTTGGCTGACTCATATGCCATGATTCTAGTGAACACTTGTCAGTCACTGCTGACTGGATATGGGACAAGGCTCTAGGTGATTTGGTGGCTTCTTCATGTGTACTTTAATGGTTCAAGGTGGGGTTTGGCCCCAGTGCAGGTGGCTGTTTATCCCTCAAAATACTGCCATAACCTTGTCCTCTCAGGAAAGTTTCATTTTGACAGCCCAAATGTGATATTGATCCCATTGAAAGTTGGAGGAGATAGAGAGGTTGAGGGTTGTGCCATTGAGTCAGTTTGTGTGGTGCTTGGAACTGATTTCTGCGAACAGGGGTTGAGAAAATGTAGAAGAAAAGATTAGATAATCAGGCCCTTAAGATCAATGAAGCTCTGATACCATTTGTTGGTTCAAGGAAGAAAAGATGAGAGTAAAATTGAGAGAGATTGAACATGAAAGAGACGGCAAGATTTTAGGGATTTTCTCTCTGCATTTCTTTCATTGAACAGAGTAATGTATATACAAACTTACTTCACAGTTTTTACTTACTGCAGTAAAATAAAATATTACAAATACACTTTAGCTAAAATTATGCACCAACCCAAGTCAAGTCTCAACAAAACATGACAAAAAAAGTCTTCACATGAGTGGCCTGATATCTGCTCCATAACCACTGCTGTCATAACAAAAACGAAAGCTGAAACTTTGGCTCCAAAAACAGATTTGAATATTAAACCAGAAGCTTTCTCATTTCCAGCAGGTTATCACCTACATCATCACAGGTGCTCACTGGTGTCAAAGAAACCTTTGACAGAAACTTTGTTGAAACGAAATTCAGCAACAAAGTTCGGCATTGAAGATTTTGATCAGAACATCTATGTTGAACCTACAGTGCAAGAACCAGAATCCAATGTGGACGGGAAGATTCATGTAAAGCTTATCATCAGCAAATCCAAGAAAATTGTTTGTTTTGCCGAAGCAAGTGAAGAATTTGTTGATTTAGTCTCCAGTTTCCTAACTGTTCCACTTGGTTATATAACAAAAGAAATGCAGAGTAGTATTTCAAAAGGATCCTTAACTCACCTATACAATAGTGTCAAGGAACTCGATTCTGAGAAATACTTTAAATCTTATGTGCACAAGGAAATGCTTATAAGTCCGAAGCTCGCCCCAAATTTTAGGTATGAGAACCATCCTTTAGGCATTGAAGAAGGTTTGCACCCAACATACCATGCTACAGAATATTATTACTATAATTGTCCTGGTCAACGTCATTATCATCATCAACTGACTTCTGATGGTGAAATTCCTTCTGAATCATATAGTACGAGAAGTTCAATTTTAATGGTCAAGGATCCTAAGTCTCACTTTAAAGAAGCCACAAGAGGAGGATTTGTGACTGGACCAACAATGTTTACCATAATTGACAATCTGATCATCACACGCATATCTCAATTCCAAAGTCTGTCTCTTCTGAACAAATTGAAAGTACCTTTCAATGATATTGAGGAGCGTGTTGTGCATGTGGACAGTGAGAAGGTAAGTTGACATAAATATTTCAGTATTAAACTCTAGCAAAGCATCCCATGATTTCTGATAGTAGTTTCTTTTGACTATTTTGAGATCTTGCTATGGAAACGTATGGTGATTTTGGCATACAACTTTTAAGAATTTCTTCGAAATTCAAGTCCCTATGATTTAACTTTTCTTTGATTTTGCCTAACCTACTAGAATATTACTATTTGAAACCATAAAGTAGGATGAGACCCGCTATGTATATCATTTTAATTTTCTTAGTGCAAAATATTATTCTGGGACATAATCACTGAAATTCACCCAGCAAGATGCAGCAAACAACATAAAGTTTCATACATGTATTTTGAGGTTTTTCCTTACATTGGCAAGAGCATTAGAAATCTTATTTGCTTTAAAGTAACAATGAAGAACTGCATCAGCCAAATAGCTCATTTCCTCATAAGATTTTAGATTCCCATACTATCTGTATCTTTTATTATTTTTATGTTGTAAGTCTTGTCAAATTGCAAGGCATTGCCATCTACAAATGCATTGTGTTCAATCAATAGTAAGTGACAGTATAGAAGTAAAATACAAATGCTGTCAGTTTATTGTGCCAAGCCAATAATCTACCACACTAAGCTACTGCCAATTCTTATTTTGTTGCTGCATTACCGCCTCCGATTAATTAGACTATACAAAGGGAGAGTTTTGATTCAGATGCTGTTCAAGAAGAGAATCCATTGAAGATGATGATCTGAAAGCATGATATCCATTCCTTGTTGATACCTTATGAATTTGTTTTACTTTGCAGGCTTTGCGTCTATTGGTGGCTTCTTTTGTATCTGAATCTGCTTTGACCAATGCCTTTCTGAGAGAGCCAAATCCATATTCATGTAAAAGCTATTTGTAGTTTGTGTTAAAATTTATGTTTGTACTTTGGTATGCTCTTAGACCAGAAGATATTCCATATAAGCATATTAATATAAAGGATTTGCATTGTATTGACAATTTTGAGTTTATTTTTGTGTGTACCATCTTTCTTTTGCTTTTATATAATTTTGAGTATAATTATATAAAATAGGTGGTACAGGATATGTGCTGTAGTTGCAACCTTGAATTTCCTTTTTGTGTTTATCATCTTTCTTACTCAAAAAACAAACTTCATTTGTTTCTCAATTTACGTATGGCCAATAAGCCTTGAAATTTTGTAGATTTGTGATGAGTCATTTGAAAGCTCTTTCAACTTCCTTAAGAAATTGAAGATGACAAGAGTACTACTTTACAGGCAACGATCGATGCTCCTATTGGTGTTATGGCAGAAGACTTTACAAAGGAAAGAGGAAGAAAAACAGAAGTGAGAGAGAGCTGTAGACAGAGAAAATCTGAACTGAATTTTGCTTTGTTTTACGTTCAAAAAACATGGGTAGTTTTATACAAAGCACACGCTACTGTTCCACCTGAAGATGCAAATTTAAAATTTGAACTAAACATACCATCTAATGCATGTATAAACATATCAGAATACATTATTTTATCAACCTAATTCACCTAAACACATCACTGAATATTTCTTAAACAGTGACCAAAAACAACTTCTACATGCACAGCAGCATTTCAAACCGTGGCGCCAAAATCTTGCAACTCCCACCATGTGTTGATTTCATCATTTCTAGCAAGATATCATCATCTTTAACAACAATAAAACTGAAAAATATATACATCAATGCAACCAAAACACTCACTTTTACAACAACTACAGTAGAGACATTTTCCAAATTTGAATTTAAACCATAACAACCAACAAATGCATACTCAAAATACATCAATTACATGTCTTAATCACACCTAAACTAAGATTCAAAATTGCACCAACTTGCAGCTCACACACGCAACTGTAGCAACTGAATTCCAATGGTGCCAAAATTTTAAAACTGCAAACTAGAACATGATGCATTTCCAGCATGGTATCACTGCATCAACACTTCTCCTTGATACTTTTGCTGGAAACACCAAGTTTTAGCCTAAGATGTTCAAACTTGGATTTGGACAATGCTTTGGTCATAATGTCAGCAGTTTATTCTTCACCTCTGCAATGGATTAAACTACCTTCACCATTATACTCAGCTTCTCTTACTACATGAAATTTTATCTTGATATACTTGGTCTTGCTGTGAAGTACTGGATTTTTGGCCATGGCAATTATAGACTGGTTGTCACACATAATTGGAGTTGAACTTCCCTAGTTTTGATTCAGGTTTGCTAGAATTTTCCTAAGCCAAATGGTTGGTTCACAACTGCTGCAACAAATATATACTCTGCTTCTGTCGTGCACTGAGCCATAGTTTCCTGTTTCTTTAATAGGCAACAAATTGCACCAAAGTTTATGTAGAACACATAACCTGCGGTGCTTTTCATATCATCGAGAGAACCTCCTTAGCCACTGTCGGTATATCCCAGCAACTTCAAATTTTCTGATTTTCTGAACCAAATTCCAAGTCTGGTGCTTCCTTTCACATACCTCAACACTCTCTTGGCTACCCAAAAATGCAACTCACTTGGTTTCGTCATGTTGGGAAAGGTATTACTGCTTATGATATCTGGAATACACTTGAACTGCACTTTCATTTAGTCTCTAAGGCTCGAACTTTACATTTGAGAAGTCTTTTACAAAGTATTAAGAAGGATGCACTTGCTATGAATGAGTATGTATTAAAAATGAAGGAACTAGGTGATGAGTTAGTAGCTAGTGGAGTCTTAATCAGTGATGAAGAACTGTTATTGTACATACTAGACGGACTAGGACCTGAATATGATGCTGTTGTAGCCAACTTAACTGCTATAAGTAGTCAAGTTACTCTACAGGAAGCTCAATTTCTTCTTCATAAACATGAAATCCGACTTGAAAGACAACATAATGTGTACTCTAATCTTTCTGATCACTTAGCTCCAGCATTACTTGCTACAAAGTAGAGTGAAACTATTGTCAATGTAAGTTCTCAGTTCAAGAATGGGAATATAACAGCATCTATACCAGTAAATGCATCATCACATCTTGAGAATTCAAGTGTTCAACCTACCTATCCTTCTGCTCAGTACTTGACTTCATAGACTGGCCATCCTGATGGTGGAAATATATTTCCACATGAATATCGACATTCTCCTTAGTATGCTCATTCTCAGTACTTGACTCCACAGAATGGTTCTCCTGATGGTGGATTTTCTCATTATCCTGGAATGATGATGTTTGGCCCTAACATGCAAAAAGGACGAGGCAGAGGTCGAGGTTATTTTCGTCCTAAACTGATTTGCCAAGTATGTGGGAAGACTGGCCATTCTGCTCTTCACTGCTACCATCGGCTTAATCATGGATATCAGAGTATTGCTAGCTCACTTCCTGTTAACCCAACCAATACCACAATTCCTAGTTACACTAATGCTTCGACCCAAGCATTAATGGCAGCAAGAGTCATGCCTCCTCAGCCCTTTTCCTACTCATCATATGGACTTCAGTCTAACCAAAGACCTACATTTAACTTTCGACCACAACCACCTCAATCAAACACTCCTCAGTTTCAATCATCTTATACTTCAGTCAGTGCTACTTCACCACGGTATGTTCCACCTCCATCACAACAGTATAATGTGCCTTAATCATCCCTGACAACTCCATTTACCGATGACAGATTAAACTCTAATCTAGCAGTCACAGGCCTACCTGACCAAGGATCCTCCTTTGCATCTGCCACTCCTCACACCTTAAATGATCAGACCTGGTTTGTAGACTTTGGAGCTACAAATCATATGACGACAGATCCTCAGAACATGCTTCTTCCATCAGCTTATCAAGGAGATACTCAGGTTTAGGTTGGTAATGGACATACAGTCCCCATTACACATACAGGTATTAACTTTATACCTTCTGATTTCTCTTCTAAGGTGTTGAGTTTGAGAAATATGTTGTGTGTCCCTAGTATAGCCAAAAATCTCTTGAGTATTTCACAAATAACAAAGGAAAATGATCTTATTGTTGAATTTCATGCTGCACATTGCTGTATAAAGGACAAAACAACTAAAGACATACTTCTACAAGGGAGCCTGAAAGATGGGCTGTATCAGTTGCATATGTCTCTACCATCTTCTGGATCTCTTGATGCAGCTATGTCATCCATGTTGTCGTCCTCATCTGCAGTTCCAGCTTTCTGTTCTCCACTTAATGTAGTGGCAAATAAAGTTTCAGGTTCACAAGTTCGACCTTCTAGTTTTAATTCTGTTTTGGCAGCAAATAATTGTACTCTTGTCCATCCTATATTGGATGCAAAGCTTAGTACTACCTTGTTATGGCATGCTAGTTTAAGACACCCTCAAGAAAAGAGTTTAAAAGCTGTGTTGAATAAGCTGAATGCATCCAGTTACTTTGGCAATAAAACACCTTTTTGTGAGGCTTGTCAATATGGTAAAATGCAACAAGCACAATTTCCTATATCTCATTCTTATTCACAAGCTCCACTTGAATTAGTTTACTCTGATCTATGGGGACCTGACCCTATTAAATCTTCTAAAGGTTTTCGCTATTATATCATATTTGTGGATGACTACAGCAGATTTATGTGGATATACCCACTGAAAGCTAAATCTGAAGCATTTCCCATCTTTACAAAGTTTCATTGTTTGGTTGAAAAACAGTCGAATTATAAGCTTAAATGTTTGCAAACAGATTGGGGAGGTGAGTTTAGGATATTTTCCAAATATCTAGACCAACATGGCATATTCTTTAGACATTCATGCCTTTATCTACACCAAAAAAATGGTGGGGTAGAAAGGAAACTTAGAGCCATTACTGAGTTTGGACTATCTCTTCTTGCACATGCAACTATGCCACTTCATTTCTGGTGGCAGTCCTTTAGTACTATAGTTTACTTGTTGAATAGACTGCCCTCAACCTCTCTTGATTATTCAATTCCATTTACAATGTTATTTGGTCAAGAACCAAACTATAATGATCTAAAGGTGTTTGGCTGCTGTTGTTATCCCTTCATCAGACCATATCAGAAGCAAAAATTTGGTTATCATACCGAGAAGTGTGTTTTTCTGGGTTATAGCCTAGTTCACAAAGGCTATAAGTGTATGTCCTCATCCGATAAGTTATATATTGTCAAGCAAGCCAAGTTCAATGAGTATGATTTTCCATTTAAAAATGATTTCAAGAATGTTTCATATGAGGATAGTGAGGTTGTTGGACTGACTAATGCTCCCATCTTTCAAAGTTCCTGGCAGCTTCCAAACTGTTCTATCTATTCTTTAGATCCAGTAACTACAAGTTCCCCTGAGTTTTGTGCAGTCCCAGCTTCAGATTCTCATTCACCAGTGGTGTCAACTCTACACCATCATATAGTTTCACATGCATCAGTACCTGCAACTCAGCAAAATGCTTCATCTGGAGTGCAGTTTCCACATCCCAGTTCAACTAAGTTGTGTGCAATCCAAGCTCCTGACTATCAATCACCAGTAAGGTTCTCTCTACACCATCATACAAATCCACCTGCATCAGCATCTATAGCTCAGCAAAATGTTTTAGCTACAGTGCATCTCTCAGATCCTAGGTTACAAAGAACTCAACCTACTGCATGTGAACCAGTCCCTGCTCAGCAAAATATGTCACCTATAGTATCTCCTTAACCTACTGCATGTGAACCAGTTGCAGTGCATCTCTCAGATTCCAGGTTACAATGAACTCAACCTATTGCATGTGAACCAGTCTCTGCTCAGCAGAATATGTCACATGTAGTACCTCCTTTAGTTGTATCTCTTCCAGGTCCCAAGTTACAAAGAAATCAGTCTGCTGATGAACCACCTGATAGATGTTCAACACCTACAGAGTACAGACCTTCTTCTGAGTATCCAAGAATTGAGTTGGAAGTTGATCTATGTTTTCCTAAGTTCCAAATTCAAAACACTCATCCGATGGTGACCAGGTCCAAGAGC